TCTTTTTTTTTTCTTTCTCATTTTTCGAATTCCCATTTCATTTAGCCAATATTCGCTGCAAACCAAACAAACTTTTTATGCAATATACTGCTGCAAATCTTCGCACTTTCATCGAAAAGTTTCTAAGGCTGACTGGTTTTGCATGAGCAAAACTTCAATAAGTTAATGAGGAAAAGTATGAAATTATTCGCTATATCGACCGCGTGATAAATTGTTTTTTAGGCAATTCAGTGTAGGTTTATGATCGTTAGTGCGTCGTGAGAGAAGCGTTATTTTAAGATAAATTCGAAATGAAATGGATGCAAATGCAAGAGCATAAACAAAATTCATGATGATTAAAAGTGTAAACTCTCGTTTGCTAAAAACTAAAACTCAGAAAAATTCAGTCAACAAGTAACCGACTAGTTCAGTTGCAATTTCTTAATGCTGTTCTTGTGTACATTCCAAATAATCTCACACTGAATTCCAACTGAATACTCAACTCATTAAAATTCCATATTATCATATTTTTGCTCACAAATTCACAAAATATATGAATTGGTATTAGCCAATAAGTGCGGCATGCCTGGGCACATATATCCATATTTTATCGGATCAATTTTCGGAAGGAATCATGAATCATTCAATATGAAATTATAAATTTAAAAAAAAAAACTTATGCTGAATGCTCTTATATAACATTTCCTGCAATCATCTGTTATAAATCGCTTTGTGAAACGTGTTCAGTGAATTCATAAGATTTAACACGTTTTTTTTTTTGGTTATTAGATGCGAAGTATCCGAAAGATGATTCGATTGAGAATAATCAATGAGAAATAGGAAAAATTATTTGAAGCGCCACAACGGTCTTTTCACAATAGCACCAGCTTCACTTGAGGTTATATTGATTTACGAATGAGAACATCTCATTATATTCGTTGTTGTTTTCAGGCACAAAACTACGGCATCGGTGGTCATTACGATCCGCATTTTGATTTTGCACGAGTAAGAATAATTTATTGTTTGTTTTCAATGATGAATGTTTGTTTCATTTCCAGATAGCTAATCACGATATCGAAAGACATTTAAGAACCATATTATGATATGTCTACGCTAAGCGATGTGCGTTGCTCACTTAGCTGATGTGGGAGAGACATCAAACGCTTCCGTATCGAATTCCATCACTCCATTTCAGAATTCGAGAAAATGAATGATTTCTAAGCGATTCTCAAGAAGTTGTTCAGAGCCACAGCACCTCATTGTAGGCTTCATTTTCTCGCTATAAAATGCCTCATTCACTGAAATATTTATACCAAAAAGTTACGGAAGTGTATAAGTCTGCATCTGTCTAAAATATACGTGCATAATTGCCATAGAACAAGTGATATGAAAGTGGAATGAGATCGAACGAGAAAGTATTTAAGTGCTTGAGGGGACGACTGTTTGCAATTTAGAGAAGTGCAAAGGATCCGCGTACAGTATTGCAATTACACTGTTATTTTTTGCAAGTATTTGGTGAGTGTATTTTTTCGAAATTACAGAAAGAAGAAACAAACGCCTTTAAAACGCTGAACACTGGAAATCGTATTGCAACTCTTCTCATCTATGTAAGTCATCATCAAATACCCTTTTTTAAAACACTTTCCACTTTTAAATGATTGTGATGGCTCTGAAAATTCACATCACTAATACGTCGAATTACCACTCGAGCTGTTGCTTAACACTAAATGGAAGCAGCAGAACTGAGGAAAGCGACTGCATAAATTTTAGCTGAATGTTGTGAGCGATACTTTCGCTATTTTCAATGTAATTTCAACCTCAGCGTATACTTTTCATTCCGGCTTTCATCGTTATACGATTGAAATATTTTCAAAATTACTCTCGTCTACAAACTTAAATATTCATCAATTTTTTTGATTGAATTATTTTTCACATTCAACGTGTTTCTCGCGTTCACGAAACTTTAGATTGTTTAATTGTTTCATGTTACATGAATTTGGTTCACATATACCATAAAGTTATTCTCTGTGTAATATGATATCAACAGTTGAACTTTGTCATCATCATTATTTGGTGACGACTACTGATTTTATGCGTCAAATTATTGCGAACAATTGGGAGCATTTTGCGCTGATTTCGAGTGAAATGACAAGTGAACGTTGTTGTGTTCAGCGGATTCAAACACATCCAATTATGTCATTTAACGTTGGCAATTATGCGTTCCTTTCAGATGTCCGATGTCGAGAGCGGTGGAGCGACCATATTCAATTATCTGAACACAGCTATTTTTCCGTCCAAACACGATGCTATTTTCTGGTATAACCTCTTGCGGTCAGTTAGTATTTCTCATGGTCTCTTTTCTCTTTCTCTCGCTCTCTCGAATTTCCCATAGGATCTTCTTCTGGAACAGTTTGATGAATCGAGAATTATGCATCCATTTTGATGGCAACAAATTCAATTATATTCATTTCTGTTCGCTTTCATTCATCATGTTTCACGCAGTTTATCGTATATTCTTTATAATTAATGCCCAACGTTGTTCATGCTTATAATTGTAGTTAGGTATTGACCTGTCAATCTATTGCAATGCTTCGTTCAATCATTTTAAAATGATCCAATTCCAGTATGGAATGATTCTGCTAAAGTGTAAAAAACAGAATTTTTAATGCATCTGAATGGGATGAATTTTGAGTTGATATCAGATAAGGCTAACGAATGGATTTGTTCTCAAGAGATTAGGTTTGAGCATTGATGTCACAGTATTATTAACTCTATGAACTAAACTAAAAACTTGTCTAGTGGCGTGACTCGGGCTTATTAAATTCAAAACTACATTCAATAAATTTGTGGTGCTTAGGTATTATATCACTTCCAATTAATCACCTCAATTCAGTCTGTCCAAAGCTAGGCCTGACTTTGATGCTCTCTCGCGAAAGACAGCTGAAAATGAGAGTTTTCACGATGCAATGCGCTTGAGAAATTTGAAGCAAATTTTTCGTTTTTTTTNTTTTTTTTCAATTTTTTATTTTCGTCTGCTTATTTATTCGTAGGATAATATTCTTTCAGTAAAGTTGATCTCTTAGATTAATTGTGTTTTTTTCATTTATTGCAATTGAATCTGAACTGTATCTTAGAAACCACGCTGTTTAACTGTGATCCACTCCATGATCAAGGTAACGTGATCATTGTAATGCTCAGTCTCATATGCTGTCGCTCGAGAAGCACTCTAATTTCCTGAAAACTTGCTTCTAATCTTACTATCAAGATATTTTTCTCACCGATACTTGCTGCACATCTGACTTCCTCGTCTCAAACCTAATTGTAATCCTTGCCATTTCGTACTCGTATCGCGAACGTTTCGTGCGAGTTTTACAGTCTTCACGGTAACCTCTAATGTGAATTGTCACAAAATGAAGACTCACTGTTAAGCTTCAAGTGAGATTGAGGTGTAGTTAGCGCTAATTTTTGTTGCATGCCGATTTTCGGAGTGCATGTTTCCAAAGTATTCCTTAGATGAAAGTAGTAGTTTTGTTGACAGTGAGACGAATAGCATGAGAAAATGGATGCTCTTTGATTGTTCGACATTTTTTAATATTCATGCTTAAGCATACTCATATTCATAAGGTGTGCGCATTCGAAGCACCCAATATCACACAGTATGTGAGATACAGCCTCTCATCGAAAGGAAATTGTATTTGCAAGAACAAATACATCATATTCAAATAGATGAATGCCACATGAAGCGTTATCTAATGAATTTTATTATGCTCCAAAGAGATTCTCAGACAAAGGCGATCATCCGCTGCTATTTCCATGGAAATTTTCAATGCATTTTTCATCGTTTCACCATTAGATTTCATGCACCATCTTGAATAACTCATGACGAATGTGTTCTGTTGTTGTCTGTTATAAGTCGCATTGCAATTATAAATCTTTCGCATCCGAGATTTAAAAATGAACACGTACATGTTCGTTGAATTTTGCCATTTATTTGTTTAGATTAGAATACATCTACAAAGTTTTTAACCGACTTTAGTGTTCTGATGAACATGAATTTATGCTCTCTTAACTGGCCAACCGAGGTAATCAAACAAGGTGTTCCACAAAACTGGAGCATTTCATGAAAGAATGGCATCGAATAATAACAGTTTTGAGAATCGGTGTTGAAATTTCAGAAACGGTGAAGGAGATATGAGGACAAGGCATGCGGGATGTCCAGTGCTAACTGGCAATAAATGGGTTTCGAATAAATGGATGCATGAACGCGGTCAAGAGTTTCGTCGACCGTGCGGTCTCACACCGGACGCTGCCGAACGATACATAGGCGATCTTACGCCATGATCTAACTCTATCATCATCCGTGTTTAAGTAGTAGATGCTGTGAAGATATGTGCTCGAAAAGGTTTTTGAAACAGACAAGAAATTCAACTCTCTAATTTATTTACTGGTTCAATTGCATTTGAACGCGTTAAGATGTGATTGCTATTTTACTTTAATTTAATTTCTTCAGCCCGGGAATTGTTGCCGAATGAAATTGACATTTTTGTGCTCTTCACTCGAATCAATTAGTATTGAACAACACAAGTTGTGAAATCCATTGATTATTTCATGAATCATCTAGCTTATGCTTGCCATCTCTTATATGACTTTATCAAGGCAATGTGTCATTTATGTTTTACGGTTAATTCAACGAATAAAATTATCATTCGTCCACTATGAGGCGACCGTCAACCGATATTCATCAATTCTTTCGATATTTCTATCAGTTGTGGTATTGAACGAAGCATTAAATGTACTTTCGATGAAATCACTTGATAAGTGCCTGAAATGACTCACATGAAATTGATTAATATTGCAAATGTCAGTTTCAGTTGCAGCTCATTCAAGCCAGTAATTTGATATCATTATATGTCTCGTTTGATGCGTGTACATGTCAATTTGTAATCTGTCAATTAAAGTGCACATTATTTCTTGTAATCAGTTGGAATCGCTTCTTTTTTCAACGATTCTTGTTCAATTCGTTAATGATAATGTTGATATTCTGTCCAAAAATTGTGTGCTTTTTTTAAATGAATGAGGTTGTTCAGCTTCTCAACGGGGCTAATAAATATATTTCTTCCTTTGAGTTTTCTATTGGATTGTACTATCGCGTTCCGTTATAACAATCGTATTTTTATAGATCAATTGACGACAGTGATAGAATCTAATGATGTGTTCTATCTTAGAACTTTTAGATCAATTTGACTCTTCATGAAGCTGATGCGAGTTTTATTCATCTGATGCAGTCATGAAAAACACAACTCTAGCAGCTGAATAAATATTCGTATGCGTTCCAGATTTTCGTTCCGTTTCATTGAAACTATCGAATGAATTTGGTCATTATATCCGTCCACAGAAACAGTCATCATTGTCTTGTAATTCATTGAAAATCAGTGGAACGCTGTGAAATTTGATGTGATTCCATTGGCGAGCTTTCGTGCTCCGCTGTCCTCCCTATACCAACATCTGCTTTAGTTTTAGTCTCATCCAATCAGGCGTAAGACTAGGCCTGATTGTAGGATGAGGCCTATGAGTCCAAAAGAAAGCCTCATCTACAGCTACTAAAGCTGCAACTAAAGTGGTTGCTTCGTGAAGCCTAAATACACTTTCCAGGTTTAAATGACTTTATACAACATTCGAATTTCTGCCATTATTTTTGTCACCGTCGTTTTCTGACTGCATACAACCGATCTTGTTTGATTGCTTTGGTTTCGAGCCTAGTAATTAACCTAAATGCATCAGTTTTCTGCGAAATCCTTGTGGAATAGGTGGTTTGCTGTGATACTGAAGTGAGCTTTCGAGATAGCTTGCTCAAGGAACGTGATCATAGAAGCCTCTGAATAGACAATGAGAATAGTAGAGCGAGGAGGTGTGGTTGAACGGTGGCGATAGCATGATTTAAACTTGCTCGAAAGTGAGTTTATTGCAGATGATCGCAATCGCAATCCGCATCTCAAACTTGCTAGTAGGCAGGCAGACGGCTGGCTTTAAGCAGTGAACGGGCAACTGTTTTACTTTAATTGTCGTCATTTTCACTGACTTTTATAGTCCACATTATCATCATTGCCACTATGCTTTCCAATCATTATTCATCACGCTCGTTCACATTCCTAGCTTATTGTAAGAGTGCATGCGCTCGCTGTTTGTCAACAATCACTTCAGCTTGTGTAAATTACTCGATTTAATTCAAACAGAAACGATGCACATTCATTTCCTTCTCTATTTCGTTGGTGATTTTATGGTTGATAGTGGACTTATGTCATGAGATTGATGAGAATAGTGAAATGTTAATGATGGCCGTAGGGAGAAATTCAAATTGCTAAATGTTAATGAAAATGTTGACCTTTTCCACTTTTTCTGGAGTAATGCTCCCTTCTTGAAATCATTATGTGGCGCATACGAGATGCATAAGAACTGTTTTTTTTGGAGTAATTATGGCGCCTTTGAGAACTTAATGAACACTCAATTTAACTGGTTATATGGGATGATTTTCTGTGATGATCGAGCATTTTGTGAGCTTTTTTTTCTGCTGTTTATCGCAGTTGAGCGAGCTCCTTTCACATTTCATTGCATTTTTCAAAATTTTCCCATTAACCGCATTCAACAAAGAGTTTGAACCGATGCAGAATCGAGCAAACATACTTAAAATGGCCTATCAAAAAAAAAACAACCAATTCACTACCATCAGCTCACTGCATCAGTCTCGCAAATCTACTCACATCAGGTATTCCCTTCCGCTCCAACATTAATCAGCATCTACGTATGTCAGCCTTTTGTGTTAGCCGCAACCAGTTATAGTGAAACTTTAATGTATTCTTTCGACTAATTCCTTCATCATCATGAAAATATTTTTGTTCTTGTTGGATTTTTTGTTGATGAAAAATGATTTAATCCTCATTCATCTCACGTCTGAACTATTTTGAGTGTAGAATCATTGAACAATTCTCCTTAAAAACATGTTATTTGCAATTTTGGAATATGAACTTTTTGATAGTACAGATCAAAAGTTTGGGTATTTTTTCGTGGGAAATTCTCAGTTTCGGTACGATAATTCGGGCTGTCTTTAAACGAATTTGAAAATGTACAAATTTTTCGTAGAGTGAATGGGTGGTGAAACTTATTGAGATTATTTGCAATTTTAGCCCTAAACTCTAATTGTAAGTCTAAATTTTCGATAAAAATCGACTATCAGAGATTTCTCAAATTTGCGCAATGGTTCCTCTTGATTTGCAACATATGGAAAATTGTTCCTGCTGGTTTCAGTGCAATAGAAGTTGATTGATGAAGGAGTCTCTCTAGCTGGTGCTTTGAGACTGCTTCCTTCGATAAAACAATATTCGATCTTATGAAGCAATAAATGAGAGACGTGTATCGGT